TGAAGCAAAAATAGTACATATAGCGGGAAAAATGACCAAAATGGATAACATAGGTTCTGAAATACTAGGAATTTGGCACTTCTGGCTGTGGGGGTGATGTGGCTTTTCTACAGAGGGCTGTCATGCAGTGTTTAAAAAGCATCTCCTTGTATAGTGATCGCAGTGGGATAAAGATGCAGACGGGGGGTCAAGTCAAACAGGCAAGCAGTTATCACAAAGGAAGGGGATGGACAAAAGACACTAATCAAGAGGGAATTCAAATCTAGCTCAAGAGGCACAGCTAAAAGGTACCAAAATCATTTATTTCCACCATTGGAAATGTACCAAAATAGTTTATTTGTGCAATGCCCCAAAACAGTTTATTTTCACCACTGGAAACTCAGCAACCAGCAGTTGGAAGGCATTTGACAAATATTTGTGGAATGGACAGATGGATGCACGGATGGACCGACAGACGGACAGACGGACAGATGGGTGGGTCCGCACTACAAGGCTGTGCAGCGTTAGTAGCAGACACTGACTCCGCCCACCTGCTCTGTCCGCCTCACGACTAGTCCATCTCCAGGCAGAAAATTCAGTAACTGACCTTGAAAGCCTTTCAAAATTTGTAATGATTCAACTAGGAATGTGGAACACTTTCCAGTTCAATTGCTGAAGAGAAAAGGCGGGCCAGCTCGGGCACTCAGATGCCAGGAGGCCCTCACCCAGGCCCCATGAGGGAAAAACATCTGCACTTCCTTGTGAGTGTGGGCTTCCTGGGGACGCTGGAAACAGGCTGAAAGCTGTGAAATGTCCTCAGCCCATGGCCAGTGTCGTCACACAATTACCTGGTTCTGAGCAGTTTCAACTAGCGACGGCTTCCCACAGAAAGCAGGTGAGGGCAGGAGGAGGCACGACTCCTCCGGCCACCACACCTACAATGCACATTTTCTTGGTGGCAACCAACTCCAAGGCCTTGCGAACCAAGGACATCCTGAACCTCCACACTGAAGTGCGCGTGCTGGGGGGTGGCGCTACCTCAGTGGTCGCAGGAGCAAACCACATACCTGCAAGTAAAACTGCCGCGCGAGACAGCGAGGGGAACCATGGCCTTTCTGGGTACACAGTCACCGCATCACGGGCCTGTGGGCCCCACGGGGTGTCTTCACGCACGCACACCCTCATTTCCCTCACCTTGAAAACCCCCTTTCCTTCGGAATCCTTTTGTTATAGAAAGAAAAGGCCACTAAGATGACTATTTCTATAACTTTCAAAAGCCAAGTAGAATTCTTAGCAAAATAAGAACTGTCATTATCAACATGCTTTCAATTGTAAAACTGTCCAAATTCTGGAGATGATTTAATGTGGGGGGAGAAGTCTGTCTTACCTCCATGAAATACACTGG